GCGACGATGGCCGATAGTGCGGCCGGGTTGATCTGGGGGGCAGCAGGGTGAGAAGCCTGCTGGCCCGAAGCGCGATCAGCATTGCGCCTGTCCTCGAGCCCGATGCGGGCGTCTGGGGCAGTCTTGTTGAGCTGGACGCGAAGGTCGGCCGCTGCGTGCTCGACCTCCTGAGCGTCCTCATCCTGGATGATAGGATCATTGGGGACGTTGTCAGCAACGTTTCCCTGCCTTTCCTGGTTCAGTGGGGCATTCCTACCGGTGTTCTTTGACCTAGTTCTTGTCATTCTGTTGCGTCTAGTAGCGACGAGGGGTACTCACTTGATGAGTTCGACTCTCAACGAGAGCACCAAATGATAGAGTCTTAGTTCTAGAGAGAAGTGAGAGCTAGAGAGAGAAAGTGAGTAATTATATTTCTCAACTTGGAACCCCCTATAATTAGCCCCTTGGGTCTATTTATAGGTAAAAATGTGGATTTGGGCCCCTAGCCTTGGGCTTAGGAGGCCCATTACAATAATCATGCCTTCTTTGGGCGAATAAGGCCACTAATGGGCTGAGTACAACACTTAGTACAAAAAATAGGAAAATACATTCTGCCCGGACGAAGTCCGGACGAAGCGGTTTACGGACGATGCGGTCCATGGACGATGCGGTCCATAGAAATCAGGCGATATCTTCTCTCTTGGACGCTACGTGCCTCTGGACGATGCGGGTGTCCCGCTGGTGTCTTTTGGGCCGTTGAGTATGTGGGCCATGGGGTCCAGGCCCATATACTCTATCATCCTCGTTACACAGGATTTATTTCAAAAAAGAGCAAGCTCTAGACATCTACCGATTTATCAACCACCTCACCAGATCAAATTTTTGTAGGCAAAGCAGAAGATTCGATTCCATCACAGTTTCTTCGAATTTCAACAACGCAGGACGCTACCTGAGGATTGCTAAAGAGAAGAGGAGCTTCATTATAATCCCCATGGGCCCACAAAATTGCAACTTAAAATATTTCATGGAAATATTTTCCAATTTCGTTGAAGTAACTAATTTAGTGCAGGAGACACCTATGCCCTGGATGCAGGAATCCACGTCAGTTACAGACGAGCCAAAATCAACATCTAAGCTTATTTTTGACTCCCAAATTCAAGGAGCCTACTCAGAGAAACAATGGGCTCTAATTCTAGTGGAACAGCACAGGCTTGCTCAGGCTTATTCAGATGCAGCAGACATCTTTTATCAATCAGATGACTCTTTTTTCATGGACGACTTTCTGGGACATGCAACTGAAAGCGATCATTGTCCCCCTATTTCAACTCCGACAGAAATTCAGAAATCAAAGTTCAACAGAGCAATTTGCAGAAAATCAAATTATGTCACCTCAGAAAATTGTCTGCCAACGGAAAACCTGAGCACACAACTCAAAATATATAGAAAATCCTTAAAAAATAAAAGGCGTCTGATGTAAGTTTTCTCGCACTTAAATAGATTGTAATATAGTGGTGTAAGTACGAGTATCGTCTCCACAGGGATGGACAAAAGGGAATCAAAGATTAACTAAATTCAGCGATTAAAAAGAAATGAATAAAAATGCGTCGTGCGAGATTGGTTGCTGGAAAATAAAAATGCGAATAAAACGATTAAACTAGGGGTTCATTCTAATTAATGACGAAGGGAACATGGATCGATTCCGGGGTAACCCGATTTCTGGCAGATCATGCCTAATTACATTAATTTAATTTAATTGACCCTAGCTAATCATTACTAAGTTCTTACCGCTCTCGCGGCATAGAGTACAATAATTTAGGGGACCAGGCTGATCTCTTATGCGACAGGATCCTAAATTATTGCGAAGACAAGCGAGCTTACGACCCCTTGATCGCTACTAATCTCTTAGCGAACGATTAAGTGTGTGTGAATGTGTCCTAGAACAAATTAGATCTCTCTTAATTTATTCTACATGCAATTGTAATTCTAGTCGCGCTTCTAGGTTACAAAAGATATCAATTAAATTATTTAAACACAAATTAAACGTCATTCATGCAATTAAACCGAAAAGAATCTAGCCATACATCATGATCAACTCCTTCATCAATCCCAAATCCCTAATTAAAACTACTCACAATTCATAATTGAAGAATCAATAGAATTGGAATAAAAAGAATTAATTGTCATTAATTAAAAAGGTGGAACTTACAAAGAATACCCAAAGATTGATGAAAAGGGCTGAAAAGCCCTCTAAAATTCGTGCTAGGCACTCTCTCTAAGCTCCCCCTCGAAACGGGTTTACAGGCTGTTTAAATAGAAAAATGGAACAAATTCGGGCGAAATTAAGATTCCAGGGGCAACGCACAGGGCCAACGCACGGCGTGCGTCCCCCAGTGTGTCCGGAGCAATGAAATACAAAATTTGGCAACGCACGGCGTGCGTCCCCCACGCACGGCCGTGCGTTGCTGGCAGTAGGTTCTTTGCTTTCTCGCCTCAGACGCACGGTCGTTCGTTCCCCTACGCACGGCGTGGGTAAAACTTCCGAATTTGACAAAACTTCCCCCATGAAAGTTGTAGATAATGAAGTCCTCTATCCACCACAACTTGCCGAATTGGATTTGGATCATCCAATAAAGAGATATGAACAAATTGGGGGAAGGTCTCATTCTGAAATCGCAACAGGGATCATCTGACTTCATTGTCTGTTTTCATCTTCTTCCTCTCAGATTCTTGGAATGATGTCATCATATGATTTGTAGTTCTTGAAGTTAGATTTCATGTGGCCTTTGAATCATGTTCTTTGGATGCTTCTACAAAGAGATATGCTTGAACAATTTACAAAAGGTCATCCTGAATGCCGTTTTCAAGCTTTATTCATCTTCTTTTGATCTCATAACCAATCCTAGAGCTTGTTTGCCATCAAATCTTTATCGTAAACATCTCATTGAACCCCAATACTCTCAATTCACTCTCGAATGCTTCTCAACTCATCCCGATTGCTTCTCAAGCGCCGGTGCCGAACTCTAAATTCCTGATTTTGACTCCAAATGACACAAAACTCGAACCAACGCCTGGTAAACATAACTTGATCTAAAATTGAGACATTTAACACCTTAAAGCTGATGACTCTAAATGGTGGTCTATTTTACTCTGCTAATCAGATCTTTACCTGAAAGCTTATAGTGATGCAGATTGGGGACAGTGTGCTTTCAGTTATAAATCATTGAGTGGATATTGTGTTTTCCTTGGTGATTCATTGGTATCCTGGAAAACTAAAAAAACAAAAGACTGTTAGCAAGAGTACAACAAAAGCAGAGTATAGGAGCATGTCTTATACTACAAGTGAAATGGTCTGGTTAGAAAGATTACTCACAGATCTAAAAATTCAAATTCCACTACCTATCAATCTTTTTTGTGATAATAAAGCTGCAGAACACATTGCTCGGAACCCAGTTTTCCATGAGAGAACTAAACATTTAAATGTTCATTGTCATTATGTTAGAGAGAAACAACAGGAAGGGTTTCTTTTAACACAACATGTGAAATCAAGTTTGCAATTAGCTGACATTATGACAAAACCTCTTGGTGCTGAGCAACACAAGTTTCTTTCTGTCAAGCTTGGAATGAAGTTCTTTCCATCCATTCCAGCTTGAGGGGGGAATGTGGAACTAAGCAAGCTATACCCATACTAAAGATTTGACGTGGCACTCTGTTAGATAATTAGTTGTATTCAGTTAGACAGTTGACTTAATTTGTGTATATATATATATATATATATATATATATATATATATATATATATATATATATATATATATATATATATATATATATATAGAGAGAGAGAGAGAGAGAGAGAGAGAGAGAGAGTAATCTTCCGGTCAGGTATACCTGACCGGAGCCGCCGTCCGGCCTCCTCCTTTTGGGGGCCTTCCCGGTGGCAAAAGTCATTTGACGACCTTCCCGATTGAATTTTTTGCTGAAATTTGGTATGGATGAACTAGACTTGATGAGGAACATACACAAAAAATTTGAGCAAAAAATACCACCGGGAAGGCCCCCAAAAGGAGGAGGCCGGACGGCGGTTCCTGTCAGGTATACCTGACAGGAACATTTGTGTATATATATATATATATATATATATATATATATTGGTTCAGGTGAGAAATGCATCTAATGTGAGAAATGAGAATGAATCTCAGCCATTAGATTTATGAAGTTGCACTAAAATTGGCTTTATGTTGCAGTAATATTTAAATTTTGCACATGTTGCACTAAAACTATTTCATGTTGCACTAATATTTGACGGCGTTGCACCGAAATAGCTTCATGTTGCACTAGACACGTGTAATACGGATTTTTCAAAAGTATTTACAGAAATGCCACCGTGCTAGATTGCATATTTCAGTGCATCATGAAGTGTCTTTTACTGCAACTTAGTCGAATCCAATGGCTGAGATTCATTCTCATTTCTCACCCAAAGGGTTCTTCTCACTTGAATATATAGGGAGCGGTTCCGGTAAGAACGCATCTTAGGAGAGAAATGAGAACGAATCTGGACCGTTGGATTGAATTATGTGGAACTGAATTGTGCATTTGATGAAACCGAAATGTGCATTAGATGATATTGAAATGTGCATAATAAAAATTTAAACTCACGTGTGCATTAGGTGAAACTGAAATTTGCAGAATAAAAGGTACTAAAATAACATCACATCGTACCTTTTCTTCTGCACATTTTAGTTTCATTTAGTGCACATTCCAAATCCACTTTATACACAATTTAGCTTCACATAATGCCACTACATTGTACCATTTGTGCTGCACATTTCAATTTCACCTAATACACATTACAGCTTTATCTAATGCACATTGAATTTCACATGAAGCAAATCTAACGGTCCAGATTCATTCTCATTTTTCTCATAAGATCATGTTCTTATTTGAACCAAAACCTATATATATATATATATATATATATATATATATATATATATATATATATATATATATATATATATTAAGTCTGAACAATTGAAAATGTACGCTTGCTGAACTTTCTTTCAATCAATTCTCAATTTCATCTTTCCAGAATTATCTTCCTTCTTGTTCTTCAATCTCCATTGTTGCTAAGCTGAAATATGCCCTACAGTAGAGATTAGTTAATTTCATAAACACCGCTAAAATGTTGGATTATTAGTTTCCATTTTTCCTTTTTAGACCTGATTTGTGGAGGTCTAGATTAGAATTATCAAGAAATATTTATAAATGCTGTTAGTGCCAAGTCAAATAAACTACCAAGGCCCCAGAGTGAGGGAGCTTAATTGCATGTAATGGAGTAATATCGGCTGTTCAAACCACGCATTAGTCGTGGCTTTAGTTGGTTATTATTAATCGTTTGCTTTGCTAGTGCTCAAATAAAGGACGTGCATCCATAAAAAAGACAATTTATTACTAGGTGTAACAATGTGTTTATATTATTAAATCTATACTTCTATTTTGTTATTATTTGGTTATAAGAGCCCGTTTGGTAGCACCAAAATCGGCTGTTTTGGCTGATTCTGCTGAAATTTATGATATTCTGGCTGGAGTGGCTGTTTTGGCTGATTCTGCTGATTTAAGAAAAAAATATTTTAAAAATATATTTTATTAATAAATTAAAGAAAAAATTATATGTAAAAATAGCTAAAATGGTCCTCTACAGTAACTTCAGCCAATACAGCCAGAAAAGTAACTCCAACCTTACTTTTTCGGCTTATTACACAATTCAGCGCGCGAAAGTAAAAGTTACGTGTTTGGTGAAAAAGCTGGCTGATAAGCCTGATAAGCCGAAAACAGAGTTCTCCAAACGGGCTCTAACCTAACTTTTTCACTTGTCTCTTTCTATAATTTGCTATGTGTTTCAATAGAATGTCTGCTCGTAGAGGTTCATTCACTTCGTTTACTTCCTCCCACGGAGGTCGGGGAGGTTGAGGTAGCCCACACATAATCCGGAATGAGCAGAACTCTCCTCTAGCTTATTCACATGAGTCTGTCCAATCCCGACACCTTTCTGATGAACATACAAATGGTTTTGATTCATCGACCCCTGATGAATCTGTTCAGAAGAAGACCTTCATTTCACCCACTGAAATGAGAAGGTAAATAGTAATACAACATTAGGTAATTCTATATAAAGAATTTCTACCTATACATTACTAATATGTGCTTTTATGATGTAGCAATCCTACTATCCTCAAAGACATCATTTCAATCCTGACTAACCATTTTCACGGGCCATGGCGTTCTTATATGAATACGGATGCTGATCAACGCAACCATTGGCGGGAACTGTTTCAGATATGTTAAAGGTACTTACACTTAGTTTTTATTTGACAGATTGTGAGTTATGATGTTGATCAACTTGCTTTTTAGTTTTCAGAGAAAATATGAGTGGGATGCCTGCTTTAATACCAAAATGAAAAAGAAGTTCAAGTCTCGGGCCTTTGAATGGTTGAGCAAAAACATTGGTAGAGCTAGGCGGGACAACAAGAAGCCGGACTGGATTGGTAAAGGAGATAGGAAGCTTTTACAAGAGTATTGGACCTCTGATGCGATATATCGCGGTGGCAGGGTACCGGTTTCGTCGCATGTTGAAAGGCTGGTAAGATTTCTGTTATCAATTTCAAAATAAATTCAATGATTTTTTTAGCTTTAATGAACTGCATTGTATTGTTTAAATTCGGAGATGAAGTAGTTGAATATGCCTAGCCTCCCTTGAAAATTGAAGTTTTTGACAAGGTGTATGTCGGACGTTGAATGTTCTAGCAAGATATCGGGGCCAACTCAGCAGAAAATTGATTCCCGCATCAAGGACCAGCTGGAAGCCCAAATTGCGCAGCAGGGAAAGCAGTGTCAAACTCAGATGGCGAACATGACTTCCGTTTTTACGGCGTACATGGAACAAGTGCGAAGTATGAACCCTTCCGTCCCGCTGCCTGATTTCTCGGATTTTCGTACCCCGACCTCCGCCCAAATGAATGGGCTCCATGACTCGAATGAAGTGTGGCTGGAAGATATATATGTTTGTGTGATGAAAAAACAATTTTAATTTATGTACTAGTTCTGGACACCTTCTGGCAATTTATTTGCCATTTTTACTTTTGTTTTGGCAATGGTTTATCTGCCTGGACTGCAGTAATAATTTGATGTTCCGTACATTTGCTCATTTATTTGCTCTTTCATTTGCTTTATAATGTGCTCTATAATGTGTTCTATATTGCATGTGCTCTCCATTAATGTTGTTTTGTTTATAATGATTCTATAAAAAAAATGTACATTTCGTATGTATGTACGGTATACATTTTTTTAACAATTCAAAATGTACGGTATTCCGTACATAGCCGTCCCTGTGGAGACGATACTCGTACTTACACCACTATATTACGATCTATTTTAAGTGCGAGAAGACACACATCAGTTTTTGGCACCGTTGCCGGGGACGGTGTCGGTTTTAAGGGTTAATTAATTTCAGCGATTTTTTTTAGTTAGTTTTCTTTTAGTTTTTCCGTAGGATTTTTCTGTGCTAACCTTTCAGGTAATATCTAAGAGGCATGAGATGAACACATTCAGCCAAATTCCTGGAGGAATTCCTTACTCTCAAACCTCCATGGAATATTCACCATATACGCCATACCCTCCTTACACTCCTCCTCCTCCTCCTCCTCAATATTACACATCTCATCAAAATTATTCTCCTACACCACAAAATTTCCCATCTTCCTATTCTTACCCTCTTCCAAATACACAATACTCTCAATCTCATTCTCCTAATCATTATCCTTATCCACAATATCCTCGGACAAAACCAGGCTCCATAATGGAATTTCTCATTCAAACTAAAAGTCCCGAGGAATTGGTTGATTGTTTTCCTAAAAATAGCATTTGTAACTTCTGTGGAGGTGGTCACCATTCATGTCTTTGCCCCATTCCTCCATACGACCATCCTTACTGGGCAACTGCATACCCAACTTCTTCCTCTTCACAATTTACGAACACAAATGTTTCAGTCACTCCTACATACTTCCCGAGTAATGAGCCTCATAATCAACAAGAGGATATGGAGGAGGCAGATTTAAAGAGACTTTCAAGCTTGGAAGAATCACTCAAACAATTAGTGCAAATTCAGCATAGAGCGGACTCAAGGATGCAGAACATGGAGAATCAATTGGGGCAGATTGCAAAGGCTTTATCTGAGGAGTCCGAGAAATCCCATCCTAGCGACACAGAAGCCCAACCTGAGGAGACCAATATGGATGATCATATGAGTGAGTCGGACTGCGAAGGTGGGAATATGATGGATGATACCCTCCTAGATGCTTTTGAAGACCCTGATGAGAACGGTGTTAACGAGAGTTGGGATGCCTTCATGGGGAGTGATACAGAGTCCAGAGGAGAGGTTGTGAATTTTCATGATATTTGTGAGGAAGAAGAGGACTTTTCTATGGTGCAGTTTGATTACGGTGTTGCTCCTACTCCTTGCTTTGAGACATCTTTTGAGCTTCCAGTGATACCTAGAGTAATCAAAGTTTTCACTCATGTTTTCTGTCCACCTGAAGAGGATGAGAGTTTCATACTTCACTTCTGTGCTGATGAGGGTTATGAAGACCATGTGCTGCCTTCGTGGGCTGACGAATTTAAAGATCTGCGCCACCTAATGACATTTGTTGAGAGGAAGCTGGAGACGTTGACTATAAGTGCACTACTACAGTCTTTGCTATTGGAGAGCCTATGGTGTAGTTGTGTCGGGCACACGACGTTAAAAATAGCGCTTCTCGGGAGGCAACCCGAGCTTATTTCTGCTTTTGATTTTGCTTTTGTTTTGTTTGTTGTTTGGTTGTTTTGCTTTGTGTTTTTGTTGCAGCTCAGGGTCTTGTTGTATGGATGATGTGCCGAGGATTACATTGACTCGGTTTAGTTCTGCATCGACCAACACCTTAGGGAAGTTTCTTTGACTCTTTTACTCGATTGTTGAAATATTGAATTGAGTGAAGTTGAGCATGTGTGACCCTATCCTCTTTACCCCCTAGTACATAATGCATATTTGGTCATCGAGGACGATGCCAAAGTTTAAAGTGTGGGGGAGTGAATTGGGCATTCGGGCAGTAGTTGTTACATGTGATTTTTAGAGTTAGCATGCGCAGGTGTTAGTTGTATATTCATAGGAAATTCATGTCAAAATTTTTGAAATTTTTTCTTTAAACTGTGTCTTTGTGAACTGGCTAGCGTTTGACAATGCTTTTAGAACATCTTTGAAGTGTTTAGGCTTAAATTGCTTGCACTATAATCTAGTTGTTGAGAGGAGGAAGGCATTAGTCACCCATTGAATTTTCCATTAATCATATACCCACCTGAATAAGTTCCTTTAGGAGAAGCCACTTTGAGCCTGACCGTTCTTTGTTACCCAATTAATTGAGCTCCATAGCAAAATGGCCTGTTTTCCTTACCCGTGAATATTTCTGACATAGTCTCGATATTTAGGGAATTAAGGGATTAATTTGTTAAGTTTAGGGAATTTTTTGTAGGAGCCATTTTTGGCATTGCTCCTATGCCCCAAATAGGGTAAGAGCAGTCACTTTTTAGGAATTTGATACTTTCGAAGATTGCATTGTAGGCATGGATTCACTTTTCAATCAATGAACTTTAATTGCTGTTTTTCCTTGGTGAGGCCGAGATTAGAATGGGGTAATGTCTAGTAAAAATCTGAAAAATTGGAAAAATTAATTAATAGCTAGACCTCTTACCTTGCGAAAAAGATAATGGGAGCCCCGGTCAAAAATCGTAAGATGTGACTTGGGTATCTTTCGAAAGAAATGGCGTTCTCGTGCTAACATGACAAGGAAAACTAAACATAATTAATGAACTTGGAGGCTATTGAAATTTAGCTTTAGTCCTCCGTGTACTTCAAGTATACGTCAAAGCACAAATGTGCCGAGACGGTTTAGCTTAGTTGTACACCATGTCTACTCTTAGCATAGGTTTAAATGATTGTTCCTAAATTGTGGCCTACTGAGTTCCTTGTTCCTAAGAATAGCCCTGAAGTTCATGAATACATTGAGTCTTTGTTGGAATATTCCAATCTCTCAAAAGAAAGGGACTATTTTTGTTATCCATGAACCATTCACCACCACCTTCACAAGTCCTTCTGATCGGTAGCTAGTTTATTTGTGTGTGCTGTCACTACTTTGAGGATGTTGTGAATAATTTTGTCAAATATGTTAGCTAGAGTACAAAGATGTAGTTTAGGGAAGAATTTTCTTGGTTTAGACTCTCTGTTTTGTGAATATCCCTTTAACTACGTGTGCATGCTAATTGTTTTGATTCCGTGTGGTGATTATCGTAAGTCCCGTTGTTCAGTTTGCTTGAGGACAAGCAAAGACTTAAGTGTGGGGGAATCTGATAAGTCTGTATTTAGACACGCATTTGATGCGTGTTGAGATCAGCTTTTGATGGTTTTCCCAGCTTTAAGGTGTTGCAAGTCTCAATTTTAGCCCAAGTTATGTTTACCGGGCGTTGGTTCGGGTTTTGTGTTGTTTGTAGTCAACATCAGGGAATTTGAGCCCGGGGTACCGGCACTTGAGGAACAATCGGGATGATTTGAGAAGCATTTGAGAATGATTTGATAGCTTTGGAGGTCACCGGAAGATTCACGATGAAGATTTGAAGGAAAAAAGAGCTCTAGGATTGGCTTCGGGATCAAAAGAAGATGAATGAAGCTTGAAAACGACGATCAGGATGACCTTCTATCAATCGTTCAAGCATATCTCTTTGTAAAAACATCCAATGTACACGATTCAAGTTCCATAGGAAATCCAAGTTCAAGGGCTACAAAGCATATGAAGACACCTTTGCGAGAATCTGAGAGGAAGAAGGTGAAAACAGACGTTGAAGTCAGATGATCTCTGCTGCGATTTCAGAAAGACACCTTCCACCGTTTTGATCATAACTCTTGATTGGATGATTCAAATCACATTCGGCAAATTGAGATGGATAGACGACTTCATTATCTACAACTTTCATGAAGAACGCATTGCCAAATTCGGAAGTTAAGTAGGCACGATTGTGCCCTCAAAGTCAGGCACGATCGTGCGTGAAGAGAAAGCATCGCGGAGCTACTGCCAGCCAGGCACGATCGTGCCTGGAGGGAGGCACGATCGTGCCTGGAGGGAGGCACGATCGTGCCTGGAGGGAGGCACGATCGTGCCTGCCTAAAATGCGCGTTTTTGCTCCGGAGGTACGATCGTGCCTGGCATCGTGTCTGGCTCCGAAAATCCTTATTCAGCTCAAATTTCACCCGATTTTTCTATTTAAACAGCCTGTAAACCCCCGTTTTCAAGGGGGGAGCTTAGAGAGAGTGCCTAGCACGAATTTTAGAGGGCTTTTCAGCCTTGTTCATCAATCTTTTGGGATTCTTTGTAAGTTCCACCTTTTTAATTAATGACAATTAATTCTTTTTATTCCAATTCTATTGATTCTTCAATTATGAATTGTGAGTAGTTTTAATTAGGGATTTGGGATTGATGAAGGGGTTAATCATGATGTATGGCTAGATTCTTTTCGGTTTAATTGCATGAATGCCGTTTGATTTGTGTTTGAATAATTTAATTGATATCTTTTGTAACCTAGAATCGCGACTAGAATTACAATTGCATGTAGAATAAATTAAGAGAGATCTAATTTGTTCTAGGACACATTCACACACACTTAATCGTTCGCTAAGAGATTAGTAGCGATTAAGGGGCCGTAAGCTCGCTCGTCTTGGCAATAATTTAGGATCATGTCGCATGAGAGATCAGCCTGGTCCCCTAAATTATTGTACTGTACGCCGCGAGAGCGGTAAGAACTTAATAATGATTAGCTAGGCTCAATTAAATTAATTTAATGTAACTAGGTCTGATCTGCCAGCAATCTGGTTACCCCAGAATCGATCCCTGCTCCCTTCGTCATTAATTAGAAAGAACCCCCTAGTTTAATTGTTCGCATTAGTTTTATTTTCCAAACCAACCAATCTCGCACGACGCTTTTATTTTATTTTCTTTTTAATCGCTGAATTTAATTAATTCTTGATTCCCTTTTGTCCGTCCATGTGGAGACGATACTCGTACTTACACCACTATATTACGATCTATTTTAAGTGCGAGAAGACTTAATTTGTGAATATATATATATATATATATATATATATATATATATATATAGAGAGAGAGAGAGGAATGTTCAGGTCCGAACATTCCCCGTCCGAGCACCGTCCGATATATATATATATATATATATGTATATATATATATATGTATATATATATATATATATGTATATATATATATATGTATATATATATATATATGTATATATATGTATATATATATATGTATATATATATATATGTATATGTATATATATATATGTATATATATATATATATGTATATATATGTATATATATATATATGTATATATATATATGTATATATATATATATATGTATATAGGGGTAAGATCACATACAAACTAGTCTTCCCATGCTAACCTACAAACTATCACAAACTGTGCATCTTTACATTATTTGTACTGCATATTGAAGCTCAAAGTGTTGCATATTATTTGTACTGCATATTAAAGTTCAAAGTGTTGCATATTATTTGTAATGCATATTGAAATTCACAGTGTGCATCTTTACATTATTTGTACTGCATATTGAAGTTCAAAGTGTTGCATATTATTGAGTTTGTAGGTTAGTATTTTAAGCATGGTTTGTATTTGATCTCTTACCTATATATATACACACACACACACACACACACACACACACACATATATATATATATTGGTTCAGGTGAGAAATGAGAATGAATCTCAGCCAATAGATTTATGAAGTTGCATTAATATTTGACGGCGTTGCACCGAAATAGCTTCATGTTGCACTAGACACGTGTAATACGGATTTTTCAGAAGTATTTACAGAAATGCCACCGTGCTAGATTGCATATTTCAGTGCATCATGAAGTGTCTTTTACTGCAACTTAGTCGAATCCAATGACTGAGATTCATTCTCATTTCTCACCCAAAGGGTTCTTCTCACTTGAACCTTACCCTATATATATATATATATATATATATATATATATATATATATATATATATATATATATATATATATATATATATATATATTAAGTCTGAACAATTGAAAATGTACGCTTGCTGAACTTTCTTTCAATCAATTCTCAATTTCATCTTTCCAGAATTATCTTCCTTCTTGTTCTTCAATCTCCATTGTTGCTAAGCTGAAATATGCCCTACAGTAGAGATTAGTTAATTTCATAAACACCGCTAAAATGTTGGATTATTAGTTTCCATTTTTCCTTTTTAGACCTGATTTGTGGAGGTCTAGATTAGAATTATCAAGAAATATTTATAAATGCTGTTAGTGCCAAGTCAAATAAACTACCAAGGCCCCAGAGTGAGGGAGCTTAATTGCATGTACTGGAGTAATATGGGCTGTTCAAACCACGCATTAGTCGTGGCTTTAGTTGGTTATTATTAATCGTTTGCTTTGCTAGTGCTCAAATAAAGGACGTGCATCCATAAAAAAGACAATTGTACAAAAAAGTAAACAACTAATGGCCTTCTTATGGTTCATGATCTATTATACTTTGTGTTCCCTTTTCTCAACTACGATTTCGGAGCAGATAAATTCTCTCCCTGGACAAACCGTCAATGTTACCTTTAAGCAGTTCTCCGGCTACATAGTATCGGATGATTATTATGGAAGATCGCTCTTCTACTATTTCGTCGAAGCCCAATCAAAACGTTCGCCAACCCTCCTCCCTCTTACTCTTTGGCTTGGAGGAGGTATGTTATCCTGTTTTCTAGTTTAGATCGAATTTGTTTTAACGTTTGAATTCACATGTCTGTATCCTGGTAAAATCGATCAGCACATGGCTGTTCTTCGTCTGGCAATGCTTTGTTCACTGAAAATGGTCCATTCAGGCCTGCAAAAGACGGGAAACTGATACTAAATCCATTTTCTTGGAACTTAGGTAAGTCTTAATGTTTGGCTCATTTGCTTTCAATGATTAATGTGTGTAAATGTACACAAACAAATGCAAACACGCAAAAGCAAATTCACACACTGACATGTACTTCGTATATAATTTGGATCAACAGCAAATGTGGCAAATTAGAATCATGAACTTGGTGCGTTTCATTTGAGACCTTTATATTTTTTTCGTTTGAGATCTATAAAATGTATAATGATGAATCTGAAAATTCAGTGGCATTATCTTATCACAAAATGTGTAAATAGTGCACCACTTTACATCATTCTTATTTCCTATGGAAGAACAATTCTCACATGAACATATATATGCATCATATCGTTTTTTCAAAATTAGATGTAATGAATAGGTCTTTCTTGAAATAAGCAGTGTCGAACATGTTATACGTGGATTCCCCAATCGGAACTGGGTTTTCTTTCTCTAATACTGACTCAGACTACACCAAATGGAATCATAGCATGACAGGTACTAATCACTTTACCATTTTGTTAAGCCCTTTTGTGATTGTATGAGATATATTCCTGCCACTTGTTTGATCCAATCCTTATGGCACACAATTATCTAGTGCATGAAAATATGAAGTTCGTCCTCAAGTGGTTTGAGAAATTTCCCAAGTACAGAAACTCAGATTTTTACTTGGCTGGGGATGGTTCCGCAGGTAAACAATTTTATATTTGTGTACTCTCTTCTTACCCTATTATCTTCAAGTTGAAGTCATTTAAATTTCTACACATAATGTTTACAGGGCACTTAATACCGCAACTTGCTGCATTAATGCTTGAATACAATCAACACAATGATGCCATGCCGATCAAGTTAAAAGGCATTGCTGTGAGTATTCCTTACATTCTGAGTTAACCATTTTGTTTTCATAATGAAAAACTTTTTAGTTTAACCTTTGCAGCTTGGGAACCCGGGTATGGGTACTCCGGGTATAGATACAGCTGACTATCTTTGGTACCACGGAGTCATATCTCAAGAGTTGTACACTATGCTAAAGACGGTTTGTAGCTATGCAAAACAATTCTACGAGGGGCATCATGGTAAATTCTCTAAAGACTGCCAGATAGTTTCAGATAAGATGGATGAGGAGTTGGGGGAGGACTTTGAAATGGATAGTTTGCTTTCTCCAAACTGTGTACCCTCAAATTCTGTAAGACATCACGTAAATTATTGTTTGATTCTGTTTGGTTAAATTAAATGAGATCTTATATATCATCTCCGGCGCTTAGTTTAAAAAAATAAAGCATCTGGTGCGCCTAGGTGCAAGGCTCAGAGGAAGGATAAAAAATTGCATCAGGAAAGCTGGGTGCAGTAAATTCCAGAGAGCGCACGCTTTCCGCGCTTCCCCCTGCCTTTTCGCGCATCATGAGGCATACGCCTCATCCAACTCTGGAATTTTTTTAGCGTTGACGTGCACTTTGTTGTGGTGTGCACTCAAAATAATAAAACAATACAACACTTATACGCAGTATATTGTAGTAAGGTTCGTATCCACAGGTAAAGGAACACTTGTCTTTTTAAAGAAATAAATAAGTAACAGGGGGGTTAATGTTTGGTTGATGAACTTAAATGATATGTAAACACAAAGATGAACGACTTATGTAGTTTAATTAATGAGAAGAAGACTTGGCTTTGCTTTTATCCATTTAATGAAATGTTCGTCGATCCCGGTTATATCTTTAACTATCTTCCTCTCGAATACTCAATCGAGGAGTATATCCAATTCATCGAGGGTAGTTATTAATAACGAGACGCGTTCATTAATAAAACTTACTACCAAGTTACTATAGAACACGCGCCGTATATTCACTCGATAGTAGCAATAAAATCAAGATGAAAACGATTGAGATTGATAACCTCAACACAAACGGTTTATTGGTTTAATCAATATAATTAATTCCCCTTAGGTTATTAACCATGAGACGCATGCATTAATAACCCAAGTTTACTACCGTGAAAGGACCGAATTAATAACAAGCGTATTAATCGACCGATTCTAGTATTAATTAATATATGAAACAAAACTAGTTGATCCTTTAAGTAATGCTCAAAGTATTAATATGAAATAGGAATAGGAATTAATTAATATTCAAGGAAGAAGATTAAAGAAAATAACTCACAACTTACAATTCATTAAGCTTCAAAGTAGCAAAACCAAGATGGAAGAGTTTAGCTCCTCATTTGGAGACTAAACATGAAGAAAATATAAAGAAAGAACTTATGTAGACTGTGCTTAGAAGTATATAGGAATTGGTAGTTTATTGTGGAGGAAATGGGGTGTATTTATAGGCTTTTTAGGCCTGCAGGGTCGTGTACGCGATCGGGCTTTCAGGTCACTCGATCGGGTATAAGATGTGGTTTCCTCGAAGCTGGAAAATGGGGTCATACCCGACCGCGTCTGTCGGTCACCCAATCGGGTATGACACCCGAACGTGTTAAAATCCTCCCGCATGATGCCTTGTTTCCGGATTTGATTTGATTCGATTTTTCAGAAGGGTACCCGATCGGGTATAGGTCATACCCGACCGGGTACAGACCAAAAACGAGATCTTCACTTTTTTCTTGTATTTTTGCACCTTCCTTCCACTTGTGATGTTCACCAATGGTCCCCAAAGTGTTCTTGGACCTGTTTGAGCTCAGAATAAACCTAATCTAAACAAATTACAAATATTTTACAAACTAAACTATTACACCAAAAGTGTGTAATTTCCAAAGTAACAAACACTCTAACTAATTAAAAACTCAAACATACATATGGAAATACATGAATGTCAACTCCCCCACACTTAGTTTCTTTACTCGACCTCGAGTAAAACCAAATGTTTACACAATGTTCATCAAAAGAGCATGAGTTCATAGATAGGAAGAAATAAGAAACTAAAACCACCAAGTATTGTAAATGAGTTTTACAAAATAACATTTCCTTGAGTTTAAGGGTCTTCTTTGTTCCTTACTCCTCCTCCTCCTCCTCCTCCTCCAAGAGATAATGTCCTGCAAAAACAAGTTTTTCTCTCATATCTCTCATTTTGCCTAGGAGCCTTTTCAGGTTTTCATCTTAGCATCTCTTTTCTTTTTCTTTCCTTACCACTCACTCATCATTTTTTTTGTAAGCCCGTGTTGCTTAGATTGCCCTTTTGGGTTTTCAACCTAACTAGCATTTCATTTCTTTTATTATTATTATTATTATTTTTTTGTGTGCAACTAGTACAAGAAAGTAATGCTTAGTACAAGGTAAAAAACAAAAGGGAATGTGACATACCAAGAGATGAGTCTTCCTCCCCCACACTTGAAACATGACACTATTCTTAGTGCCCGCCGGGACCGCCATAAAAACCTCCTCCAAAGCCGCTCCCATGTATATCATTACCGCCTCCCTCTCCTATAGTGGTGTCCCCGCCATCATAACCTCCATCGCCGGAACTAGAGCCACCGAAATTTCCCCAATCGGAGGGGTTATACCAAGAAGGTGCCGGTGGTGGTGAGGCCATAGATGCAAATCCGCCGAGGTTGAACATGTATGAGTATGTGGGCCCATACATCCTCCGGTAGTCGTCTTCATACCTTTGCATGTCGGCCGCCCGTTGCTCCTCCAACCTTTGAAAAGCCACTCGTTGCTCCTCCCGGTATGCATCAAATTGCCGGTCACTTTCCATTTGTTCCTCCCGGTAGTGGCCTATCTCTTCTTGAAGTTGGGCAAATTGCCCTCCCATCTTTGTGTAATCGAGGCTCATGGTTTGGAAACTGGCGAGGAGGGATTGTTGACCCGCCAAGAGTTGTTGGAAGAAGTTTTGTGGTGGTGGGTTTTGAGGAGCGTCGGGGAGAGCTAGCATGTTGGACATTTTCATGTCCTTGATTCTCGGCGTGATCGGGTTGATGCTCGGGTTGGTGTTCGGGTGGGTTGGCTTGAGCTTGGAGGTGGGGTGGAATGTTGTTTGGGAGGAGGTAATGGGGGATCTCAAATGTGGCCATTTTATACCTAAGTTTAGCTAATTCATCACAAGGGAGGGGGAAATATTTGGTGGCTCGGGGTACTTCATGTGCCACCTATAGCGTTGGTTTCCATTGTGGTCTTTGTTGCCCAAAGAGATCAAACCTGCATTAGATAACCAACCAATGTGCATCAAAGAATCGGCGTGAATTGGAGCATTGTCCGTATAGCCGAATTTGGACACCAAATGCATTATTACCCCCCCAACCACAATGTTCCCGGTCTTCTTACATGCTTCCTCCAAGTGATCCCACATTAAATTGCAAAGATTGTATTCCGTGGGTCTATGAAAAAGGGCTAGAGTGAGTACGGCCACGTCCCCCATCCGAGTATGGTGATTGTTGGGGCGACCAAGCAAAGAATTGCACAAAAACTTTAGGAATATCCGAAGAAGGGGATGTTGAACGTGACTAATGGACAATTTAGACGCGTTCACCTTTCTTTCTCCGGTCATTTTGGCCCATAAAGTGTGCCCGTCAAGTGTGCTCTCCGGTATCCCCCTTTCATGGGGTGCGGGAATGCCGAAGTGTTCCGCAAACTCACGTCTCGTTATTGAGTATTCGTTGTTTAGCCAACGAAACGTGAGTTTGTCATAGAGGAACTCCGCCGGGTCATCATGTAGAACAACTTTAGCCGAGCTCATCACCTCATAAATCACTTTGTCAACACAATTATATTTCATATCAAAGATCAAATTCATCTCCAATCTATCAAATAATTCCCTCATTCCATCCAACAAACCTAGTTGTTTAAGAGCATTATGACATAGGAATCTAGAAGGAACTACTTGCCTTTTGATGATGGCCAAAAATCGCTTGCGGTGATCCCCCGGCCCAAAGCGGATGGTCTCATACCCCGGAATTGGTCCCCTAGCATTAGAGCTCTCCGGGTGGTTCCTCTTTGGTGCCATTTTTTGCCCAAATGTGGAGCTTGGATTCGGACTTGGGGTTTGGGGGTAGGTTTTTTTGGGTTTTCGGAAATATGGAGAGAGAGTGGATTTTGTGGGTAGTGGGTTGTAGAGGAGAGTGAGGGGAGTGTTTTGGTGGTGGTTTGATGGATTTTGGTTGAGTATTGATGGAGATATGGAGGAGAGAAGCTTCAAAAATGGAGGTTTTTAGAGAGAGAGGGCGAGATTAGGAATGGATGTTTGGGGAAGATGACCCGTTCGACGTCCATTTTTGGTTTAAAAGTCGTGTACCCGATCGGGTGGCCTGATATACCCGATCGGGTGGCCTGATATACCCGATCGGGTATAGAGTTGTTTCTTCTTCTTCCGGGTTCGTACCCTATCGAGTTTAGGGGTACTCGATCGGGCATTTTTCGCCGAAGAAAATCCTAGTTTTACAGATTAATTTACCCGATCGGGTGACTTGAATACCCGACCGGGTATGACGTCGATTTTTGAAATTTTACTCCAGGGGTTCTCACCCGATCGAGTTTGGGGGTACTCGATCGGGTATTTTGCTTCGAAGGAAAAGTTTTTAATTCTTGGAATTTTACCCGATCGGGCCTAAGGGGTACCCGATCGGGTGCTCTCCTTGTTTCAGCTTTCCCTCGATCGGGTGTGGGTAGTGTTTCTGCTTTTTATCAATACCCGATCGAGTAGAGTAGTGTTGCCCGATCGGGTATATTGCCCTGGGGCATGACTTCGTCCATTTTTATCATCTTTTTGGCATGGATCCGACCGGGTAATTGACGATGACCGATCGGGGATTTTCCCAGGCTTTGAAAACATGATTTTCCCTTATTTCCTTTTTGAGAATTTCCCCCATTCTCTCAAAGTTGACATTCAAAAACAAGAATTTGAAAAGAAAAGATGAAAAATGTGTACCTTGGCTTGGGTTGCCTCTCAAGAAGCGCCGTAGTTAACGTCGTGGCACGACGCCATAGTCGTGTTCATCCTTCATAGATTGGATCGAAGAGATCCATGCATTCAACGCTCTCTTTTTGGAAGCCTTCAAGGAACGGTTTGAGTTGATGTCCGTTAACCTTGAAGATTTTATCGGTGTCAAGGCTTTTGATCTCAACCGCTCCATGTGAGTAGACTTTGACCACCTCAAATGGTCCTTCCCATCGTGATCTCAGTTTATCGGGGAAAAGACGAAGGCGTGATCGAAAAAGAAGGACTTTATCTCCCACTTGGAAGTCCTTTCTCATTATCA